ATATGTTAAAAACTACCGTGCAAACTAAAAGAAGGTTAAAATTAAGCTAAAAAGTTAAAACTACCGTCCAAACTAAAAAGGTGGAGAGAGTATCATCAGACCACCAACCACCCCAGTGCTGCCAACCCCCGTCGGGTCCCCATGCAAGTTGGCAGAGCCAGGTCTTCATGCCCCTTCGGAAGGCCAACAGAGTGAGGACCACTCTCACCTCGGGGAGGGGGTGAGATGTTCCAGAGGGCAGGAGCCACAGCGGAAAAGCTTTTAAAGCTTTTAACGTTCTTTTAATTAAGAGGAATAACAAAGAGGAAGTTGTGTGCAGCAAAGCAGCAACCACCAGTGTAATTTTTATGCAGGGGAGTGTCTCAAAGCCTGAAGAATGGTGGTGAACTACAACGTAGGGCTTTGAAAACAGGAACATTTGACCAGAAAAAAAAAAAAGACAAAAGAATAGATATAAGTTGCAGCTACCTAGGTTTCATTTAAATATAATGAAAAACTTCCTGATCTATACAACAGGAGAACAGTCTACCGTGGGATATTGTACGTTCTCCATCTCTGGATGTTTTTAAGAAGAGGCTGGACAGCTACCTCTCTGAGATGATTTAATTGGTTTTCTTTCACTTTGCAGAGGGTTGGAGTAGATCAGTGTTTTTCAAACTTGGCAACTTTAAGGTGTGTGGACTTCAACTCCCAGAATTCCCCACTGGACGAGAAGATCCTTTATTTGTTTGTTTGATTCATATAGCCACCCATTTCAGTACATGACTCTGGGCAGCTCACAACATTAAAACAAATAAAAATATTTATTTCTTTATTTACTTATTAAATTTGTATGCCACCCATCTCTCCCAGAGGGTGACTCTGGGCGGTTCAAATACAAATGCAAAATGAAAACAAGAAATAAAACGCAGAGCACCTGGAGAATCCTAAAGAAGAACTGGGCTTTGTCACACACCCAGGACTCAGGTTTGCGCACAGACCCAGGTCTTCAAGGTCCTGCAGGAGGCCAGCAGGGTTGAGGCCAACTTCATCTCAGAAAGAATGATGTTCCAGAGGGCCAATGCCTTGTGGTCACTTCCAACTTTACAATTCTATGGTTTTATGAAAAGGAAAGCTGGGGTAACAGGGGACTTCCTGCAGGCCGGAGGTAGTGACAGGGAGAAGCCTTGCCATTTTGCCTTCTGATAAATGGGTGTTTGTGACCTGCTACACCCACCATCGCTGCTATTTTATGAGACTTCTCACAACCTGCTCTCAAAATTCCAGATATGCCTCCCGGTCCAGAGATAGAGTGCTTCTGCTTGCACGATGGAATCTGTAGCTTCTCAGCAGGGTTGAATGCATTTGCCCCTCATTTTTACAGCCCTTTGTAAAGCAACTTGTGTAGCCTAAACAGAAGTCACCAAACCTGATGGCTGGCTTCTCTCATTTCCTTACAGAGCGTTTTCAGTTTTCATTTGAATCTTGTTTTATTTTTCACTACAAAAATACAGTCCGGAGCATCTTTCAGTCTCTACCCAGCCCACCCATCTTTTGCATTTCTTGAAAGGATGCTGCAGCCAATGAAAAATCAGCAAATGATTGGTCATTGAATTTATTCTTGAGATAGTTTTATTGCAGGATAGAGGAGAGAGGTTTGTGGGATTTTCTGCCCAGGGTACCAGTATAGATTAACTGGCCTTGAGTCATGTGTCCCTTGATACAGAGGGCAGGGGGGGAGAGAGGGAGGAATTGTCATTAGCTGCTAGGTCTCCAGCAGCAAAATATCTTTAGAGAAAGATTTGGCAAGAAGGTAATAAGGGTGCCAAGCAAAGAAACAACCAAAATCCTTGTTTGTGTTCCTTTGCCACAAAGCAGAAGGAAATTCTGGAAAAGTTATCTGATAGATTGAGGTCAGCAAGCTAGTACCACAGATATGGGTGGACATCGAGCAGTCCTGCTACCCCGTATTACAAAGACCTGGCGTCATTCTGGAGCAAAGAAAACTTTTTGGTCTGACTTCTAAGGCAGTTCCAAAGATTTGTATCCAGAGCACAAATGGGAAGATCTAGACTTGTAGGATTTGACGGTACTGTACAAAGCTGTGGTTTTTGACCATGGTTTATTAATTTGCATTAAACTGTAAATCATGGTTTATAAACCATAATGGCCAGATTCACACACCATACTAAGCTAAATCCTAAGAACATTGTAGCTTTAGTGGAAAGCAAAAACCCAGCCAGCAGTTCCAGAAGGTGACACAAAATTATGGAAGAAGTCACTTCTGGACATACATTCAGTCCCAGAAATTCTAGCACGTGCATATATATATATATGCTGATTTTACTCTCATTTTTTTTCTTGATCTTGTTTTCCTGATTTAGAAAGGGAGGGGGGAAATTGGGGGAAAACATTCCAGGAAAAACGGCAATGGCAAACCACTTCCATAGTATTGCAAGAGAAACCCCTGCATGGACAAGCCGGTGTACCAGGAGTTGAGCTTGATTCAAATGAGACTTTATTTCTTTATTGTGCATCCACTGGAAAGCCTTGCTGATGAATTTTAGATATTTATTTATATACTAGTTGATATGCCATTCCAGTCAACAATAACTCTGAGCACCTCAATTATGCCATTCAGTACTTGAATTGAAAATACAAAACCATAGTAACAATGACACAATAACAATACTAATCAATCCAACACACACAAAATGTTAGCAGTGGGAAAATCATTACACCAACAAACATTGGATGAACCATCCCAGTTTTCAGGCCCCAAAAACTGGCTGAAACAGCCAGGTCAATGGTGGCTTCACAGAACCCCAGAAACATAGGTAACAATCTGATTGTAGAGGGGGTAGTATTGCAGAGAAGGGGGCAATATGGAAGAAAGACTGCTCCTAAGGTCCCTGTAAATGACATTCCCTGAGAGTAGGGACCCAGAAAGAGCCCACCTCTTAATCTTATCAGGGGGCAGTGGCCATTAGGAGAAGTTGTCCTGGAGATACCAGGTCCCAAGTCATGAAGGTCCCAAGCCAAATCCCACTAGGTAGACCAGACCAGGAAATCAGCTCCAAAGCTAAAGCTAAAGCTACTTGGAGATCAGTTATAATAACAGAATTGTGCAAGTCTAATTGGGCTGTACCTCCTCCCCCTTCTTATACTCCTGTGAATTGGGGAGGTATCTGTCTGAGCCGCTTCTGAATATGTTCTGTTTGTTGTGTACTTAAGATATGTTTCACTCCTTGTTGCGTTTGGTAATGGAGCTTGCATGTCTCCATCAAGGTCATTTTTCTTACTCTCTACAGCCCACCAACTTCTTGAACTGTATCCAAAAGCCAACTGGTAACCGAATTTCTAGTAACATGGAGATCTACCAGTAGATTTCCATTCATATTCCTGCACCCCTACAAAGCAGATGACCAATAATATAGCTTCACCTTTGCCACAAACTCAGATGACAGACAAAACACAGATCTGATCTCAGTCAGAATTATTTCCATAAGAGTCATCCTCCTGCATTTCCTTTTGCCTTCTCTTCAGACCTAAACCACATGAAATAGTTTTGGTCCCTCTGTGCTCGCAGCCGCCGTATCAGTGAGCAGCAGTGACTGCAGCTTGCGTTATCATATTTCCCATCCTTGAGTCATCATGACTGTCAAGCATTAGCCCAGACTCTGTAAGAACCTATATAGGGAAAGAAAAAAAAATCAGAGGAAACTGACAGTGGCCTAAAAGGAGAGACGTGTGGGTTTTTAAGCCTCGAAACTTGAACTGAGGGCAAGGGAGTCTGCAGAGGGGGTCAAAAAACTCAAGATGTTTGATTGAAGTACACCTCTTTTTTATAGGCATCAGTAATGGGCTGTGAGAATGACCTTGGGAGACAGGAGGAAGAGCCACGGCCTAGACAACACTCTGACAAGAGATATCTCAGCCCACAGAAGGAATAGGGGTGGAGAAAGCATCTCAAAAGGGACCCTCCCTAGTTTTCAGGAGAATAAAAGAGAGGGGAGAGGTACTTTCAGACTTGCAAGGTTCTGTTACTGTAGCCTTACAATAAAGGTAGCGTTAGTACTCACGGTTTGTGCTCCTTGTCTGGACTACCTCGAAGAGTGACAGCATCACAATGCGCAGGAAAAAATGGGGTGGGACTTCCATTATATGGTCACAGCTGCCATCTTGACTTTCCTGGCACTTCTCACCAGTGGACACCCTGACTCAAAGTCTATACCAATCTGAACCAGATGTAAGATGTATTTAATCTGTATTTGTGTATTCTGTCCTATAAATTGCTGGGAATTAACATACAGGACCTGTTCTTTTCTTTTTTACATGAGCCAGACAGTTTTACCTAGTTTCTGGAAGCCTATTTGCAATGGAATCAATGTCACCTACAGGGGGAAGCCATTCCAGAGGACTGGGGCCATCATGGAGAAACAACACCTTTGGAATTTGGGCCCACTTGCTTCCCGGAAATGGGACACTCCCAACACTTTATTCTGGGAGGGAGAGATATTTTGGACAGGTTGAATCTGGTTATACCTGGCAGTTGTGATAACATCCAGGCACCAAGCCATATAACTTAAATTGTGCCCAGTAGACAATTGGCAACCAGTGCAGATCTTTCAGCACAGGCATTATATTGTCTCTGAACCTTGCACTATTTAGCCAATTTGCTGCTGCATTTTGCATCAAATGCAGAAGATCTGCCTCTTCCAACTTGGTGCTTATCCTAACCTAGATATCCCCCACATACATCAAGATGTCAACTCCCAGAATTGCCAGCCATTGTTGAAAATTCTGGAAAAAAATTAAGTCCAGACATCTGGAGGGCATACAGGGTGGGGAAGGCCATGATAGACTTCTATAAACGTCAGCCAACATGACCAACAGAAGATTAGATATGGGACCCCAAGTTGTGGAAGCCTGCCTTAATTCTTAATGGAGCTGGTACTTTGGACTATCAGATCCTTCCCAAGGATCTAGGATAAAATTATTACTATTATTATGTTGTTGTTGTTGTTTGCTCCTTCTCTTCTACAATGGAGCATATGTTCAGATCCCTTAAAAGAAGTACGCGAGATAGCATAATCGTTCTGCTGGTAGAATTTTAAAAAAGCTCACGCCAATCTTCTGCCCTCCATCTGAAGGCAGACCAAACCTCTTTTCTGAGAAAGTCGCACAATCTCACCACAAATATGCCGCAGGCAGTGATATCGCTGCCTCCTGTGAGTAAGGAAATGTCAATGTGCAGTTAATGTTGCTGTTTTAGGGAGCGAACGAAATTTCCACTACAACTTCCTACATTTCAAAACTTGCATTGGCCAGAAATTCTCTGAACTGTGACATCACCAGCTGTGGGTTAGCACGTCAGAGTTCCTGTTTCCGGCATCCTTCCTTCTTTGGTGCCAGTGTTCTTCTTCCTTCTAATGTTAACAAAGGCGAAAGAGGGGGGAAAGGACTTCTTCAGGCTCAGAGGGACTTCTCACCTTCCTGTCCCACCTGTTACATGTTGATGCATCAAACCATGTATGTGGCAGCCAAACTCACATAAATGAGATTCTGGGCGGTGTTAAAACAACAGCAACAGTTATCAGATGATCAAGAACCTTCAATATCCATTACATCTCAACAATCATCCTGGCCCCAACACTCGGGGAGGGGGAAATCAAGTTTTTAATGCCATTCTAAAAACCAACAGGGTGCAGGCCAACCATCTATACATTACTGGGAGGGTGTGATGAAATTGGAGAAGGAGGCACTTTGTGCATTACTGTGAGCTCCTGAAGCTAAATGGGAAAACGCTCTGATGAATTAGTAAATAACTAACCAATGAGCACGCCATAATCTATTTGATTTTTCTATGTGTTGATTAACGCATTTAAGATTTTTTTTTCTTAAAAAAAAAAAAATCCACGATTTGAGGTGTCTG